AAATATCCCTGATGCAGCATTTGTCTTCTCCTGGACTATCTGTCTATTCCTGGTATCTACTTCACTCGCCAGTAGTTCGTCTTACCCCCCCACACACATACGCACATACACACAAACACATACACGCCGTGCGCCCACCTTCCCCAGCCCGGAGTTCGCCGCCTCCGCACCGCTCCTCAGCAGCTCCAGTCGCCACCTCAGGGTGTCGGGGGGCAGCGCCACTCGGAGACTGGACAGCTCGGGGAAGAGGTCCAGAAGGCCCTTGAAGGCTCCAGGGGGGGGAGGGGGCGCGGGGGAGTCAATGTCACAGGTCAAGGGGGGGCCCCAGGCGGTCATACACAAGGGACTCGAACCCGATTTGAAACAGGGGGAAAGGGGTAGACATGAAGGGGGAAAGAAAGCGGGTACATACATACATACAAGAACTACACGCATACATACATATAGGCAGGCGGCTGGCAGAGGTTAAGGCCTGACTTCTGCTCCCAGTTGACCCAGTCGACCCGGGTTCAAATCCGCCTGCCGGCTCCTCGGGTGTTTGAGGAGTGATGAAATGGGAGGTGGCCCCCCATCTTATGGACGGTGTAGGACGTGATAATATCAACTTGCGAGCTGACCAGGAACTAAGTTGATGCGCCGTTGATCCGCTAGATTTGGTTGGATGCTGGTGGTGAGTTGCCGAACTCAACGAATACATTCTGAAGTCGGATGGGGTGACGGATTAGGGTGCCCCTCTAGCAGGGGAGAGCAGGGACTGCCCCGGGAAAGGGGGCCGCTGGCGAAGTTAACCACCCTGTAACAACATACATACATACTCATACATACGCGCATACATACACGCATACATACAGACTCACATACAGTACATCCACGGCTTGTTGCGGCGGCGGGTCGGTCGGCGACACATTCCACGCGGCCATAGCCAGCGGGTTAGCCAGCAGCGGGCTGAGAGCCAGCGGCAGCATGCCGTACACTTCCGGCGGCAGGGCGGGTAGGAGGGGCCCCAGGGAGGGCCAGGGGCTGCGGTCGAAGGAGGTCGCGGGGTTGACCAGGACCAGCCGGTCAACGCAGCTGCCAAAGGGTGCGGGTTAGGGGTAACGGGGGAGCAGGCGGGGGGATCAGTAGGAATCCGTCCGGGCCCGAGGTCTCCCTTGTGTGTGTTGGGGGAGCTGCTCGGCGGATGGGGGGAATCCCGGGGTACACCGGAAAGAGTCTGCGGACGGGTAGTAACCCAGGTGGGTGGGTGCAGCTAGTGTCCATGTAAGCAAGAAGAGCAGAGGGGCCCGGGGGCCCCAGGTCGAGTACATCAATAAAGAGGAGAAAGCGGCTACCCGGTACGGTACGGTACGGTGCAGGTTGCACGAGAGAGAGCACATTAGTCGTTTCAACAGATTGCCAACTGTACAACTGCAACTGTGAACCTGCACTTCAACCCCTACTCCGTTTTGGGTGTTAAGATGGATGTGTACGGCAGAACCCCGGGAGGCCCTCCCGTCGCCTCCCTCCCCCCCACCTCAGCCTCCCCCCCACCTCAGCCTCCTGGCCAGCTCTATCGCCAATATGGCCCCAAACGACTCGCCCAGCAGATACACAGGGCGGGAGGGGTCCAGGGGGGCCACCTCATCCTCCAGCTGGGGAGGGGGGGGAGGGAGGGGAGGGGAGGGGTAAGAAGGGGGGCTCAATTTCACCGAAATGTGAATAGGTTGGTTTGGTCGTTGGTCCAGCCCCATGAAGCAGTACGGCATATCCGTACTTTTGCAACTTGACGTCGTGGGTTAAGGACTTCCCCTCCACTGCAGACCACTGGGCACACGTTGCCCTCCTCCGTACAGTGCAATTCTCTGACTTGCACAGACAGACAGACAGACAGACAGACAGACAGACAGACAGACAGACAGACAAGCAAACAGACAGACAGACAGACATCTCACACATCTCCACACACACACACACGTCCGCTCGAGAGCCCAAACCCCGACCGCACTGCCGCCCGCAAACTCGTACCTGATCTTTCCACTTTCCACTACTACAATTTCCCCCTCCCCCTCTCCACAGCTTGGGCCCCCCCCTACCTCCCCCCCTACCTCCCTTCACATCCCCCCGCAAAACCCACCTGCTGGGCCAGTGAGTCCACCAGCCCGTGGAAGGGGGTGCGGTCCTCCGGGGGTAAAAACACAGCACGCAGGTCGAACCGTGTGGACAGCCCGGGGAACTGCCGATACGCCGCCAGACCCGTGCCGTCGATACCCGGCAGGTACACCAGCAGGGGGAGGGAGGATGCGGGCGGGGAGCGGGCGGCCCGGGGGAAGTGGGGGGTGTACAGCAGCGGTCCAACGGAGCTGGGGTCAGCGGCGGCGGCGGCGGCGGCGGCGACGGTGGTGGTGGTGCTGTCGGCAGCGGCGGCGACCTGGCGGCGGCGGCTGAGTTCGAAGAGGTTGTTAAAGATGGGCCCTATGGTGGGCTCCCCGAGGAGGGCCTCCCGGAGGCGGGGGAGGTCCAGGGGGGGTGGGAAGGGCCGCGGGGGCCGGGTCGAGCTTTGACTGATCAGCGCTGCCAGTGGTAAGTCCACCACTGGCGCGCGCCGCAGCGGCGGCGGCGGCGGCGGCGTAGTAGTAGTAGGAGGAGGAGCCGCCTCCGCTGCATGCCCTTCCGCCTCCCTAGCTGCTGCCCCCTCCGCCGCCGTCACCGCCGCAGCCGCCTCCGCCGGTGCCCCGACCACTTCAACAGCAGCGGCCAGTGCTGTGCTAAAGTGGGCGTTCCCATCGTCGCCAGCAAGCAGCATTTCCCGCTCCGAAACCTCGGCGATTTGAGCGTCCTGTACGTCAACTGCAGCGTCCTCCATCACCGGCTCCAAAGCCTCTGTGGCCTCCACGACTTGAGCGTCCACGGCGGACTTTGCGGCTAACGGCGAAGCGCGGCGTTGTGTACATGGCAGAGGCAGTCGCGAGCCAGCAGCGGCCCGCGCCGCAGATAGAGGAGCGTTCACACATATCGGACGCAGCTGAAGCTGCATTTGCGGGCCCGCTGGTCGGGTCGCGGTGTGCCCTGTCTTCATGGTCACGGCCAGTCGCTGTCCTGACCAAGGTAGGATTAAGCGAAATGACAGTTGTATGCCGTTAATGTAAGTTGAGGAAAATCAGATATGTACAACGCGCCGATATTGCTAGCAGATTGCTCGTCGATCCGCTAGCAGGCAAGATAATGTCAGTTGGTCGCGGATGATTACAGGTCTCAAAATGCAGCTGTATCCAAACCGAGTTGGCTGAGGCATAAATCGTTGGAGGAAAGTCATGTTGTGGCCCAATCGTTCTTGACCACTGGACGTCCACGCAAATGCCGTGTAAATGTACGGCGTCGTTGTAGAACGTTTCTAAAATTGCTGTTAGCTTAACTTGGACTGCGCTATATATAATTGATGTGACATGCCTATTCTATATTTTCTTATATCATGGGTGCGGCTTGGGCACTATTTGCCGCTGAAGATACGCCTGAACGGGTGAAGGGCTTCTATGATAATTTAGTAAATTTCACATCATATACACTTTAATCTTCACTGGGTATAGTCCCTGGACAATCCTCCTTTACATGATAAGGGGTGGTCGCCGGTCGTTGCCGTTACGTTTGATCGATAGTTGCATACATCCAGGCATCTGAAGGAATTTAGTTCAATTCGCTGATTTTGTGATTTCAATTATCTGCAATATGGATTTGGTTAGGTCGCCTGCTCTGTTGAGCGCACGGGAATTGCGACGGATGGGTTCGAGCGAATGTGCTCGTCGCGCATCAAGGAATGCGCCGCGTCTAGTGAGCTATGCAAACTGGTTTCAGCAGCAGAGCACGCAAGCTGTGACTGGCGATGAGAATTCGGACGCCCCGGCCAGGGTCTCCCGCCCTGTCGTCAGCACCTCAGCAGAGGAGGACTTCATGCGCCGTGCAAGGAAAATGGAGCGCCGAATTGCCAAGCTGAAAAGATTGCAAGAGCGGCTCAGCCAATTGAAGGAAGAATCGGATTTAATGCAAGCGTATGCGGAGGCATCCGCGGATAGCGATTCTGATGCCGAAGACGGTACGTAACACTTCCTTTTCCCACTCTCTTAAAGACCGCACGAATATGCCGACATACATCACATGACAGAATCTACGGACATTTTACTTGTTTTTGTAATCAAAAGCTCCAGGTAGCCTCCTCTCACGTGGCCTCCCTCCCCTCCCCGCCATCCTCGCCACCATTGCCAGAGGGCCCGCCCCTGACCGCGGCGCCCTCACCCACAGTCCTCGGTTCCAGCAGCAGCTCCCGGCAGCCCAGTACCCCTCCTCCTCCTCCTCCTCCTATTCCCAGCCCCAGCTCCAGCCCCAGCTCCCCACTGTCCCCCCCAGCCCCCCTGCGCGCCCCAGCCGCCTCCGCGAGCGCTGAGGAGCTGCGGCAGTGGGTAGCCGCGCTGGTGGCCAAGTCTGCAGCCCGGGCCGCCAATGCCGGACAGCAGGGCAGAGGCGGCAGTAGCACTGCCGCCACAAGCAGTAGCAACAGCAGCAGCAGCGTTAGCAGTACCAACGGGGCCAGTAGCGGCAGCAGTATCTACAGGCAAAGTGGCAGTGGCGGCTGGCAAGGGGATTCTGGCGCAAGGCCCATGCCACCACCGCAACAGCCGCAACAGCAGCAGCGGCAGCCGTCAGCACCGCCGCCGACTCCAGGGGCCCCTACAATGCCGCCCTGGGGGCAGGCGACAGCGACAGCGACAGCGACGGGCCCACCTCGCCAGGCCGGCAGTAGCAGCAGCACCAAGGATAGCACCACCACCACCACCACCGCCAGCACCACCACCACCAGCAGCACTGCTAGTACAGGCGCAGGTTCTGGGGGCATTGGGGCCGTGCGGCGGTACACGGTGCGCTATTCGTCGTCCTCCCCCCGACCTCAGATGGTTCAGCTGCCCTCTCCGGGAGGCCAGCAGCCCGCTTCCGCCGCCGCACCGGTCACGTCCAATGCCGTACTCGCCGCGGCGCCGGCTGAGGCAGAGGCAGCTAAGCCAACGGCCAAGGCCTCACTGCTGGAAACACCGCCGCCGCTACCGCCGCCGCCGCTGGCGCAGTGGCGGCAGCAACCTCACGCGGGTTCGACTTCAGCGCCGCCAGGGCCCCCGGTGGCGCGGCCACAGGGAAGTCAAACGGCAGTTTCAGCGGCGACGGTGATGGCGGAAAATGCGCCCCTCGCGGGCCCAGGGCCTACGACGGCAAACTGGCGCACCGCCGCCAGCACCTCTTCACCATCCCCCTCGCCATCCAAGCCCTCCTCTTCCTCCTCTTCTTCCCCCTCGCCATCCGAGCCGTTCTACTCGGTGGGCGCCATGTCAAACGAGACGCAACGATTGTCGCAACCGCAACCGCCGCAGAAGCAGAAACAACCAAGTACGACGTCTACCGCCGCCGGCAGTGCGGCACCGTCAACCCCTGCCGCCGTACCCGTACCCGTACCCGTACCCAGCCCCCCACGGGACCCCAAAGCGGAACTCCGCACAACCATCTTCCCGGAGAGCCTCACATCCACAAATCCGTACACGCTGTACGATATGCCACTGCCGCCGCTGCCACTGCGCGAGTCCTGGCAGACGCCGGCGGAGCGGCGGCGGGCTGACGCAGCGGCGACGGCGCCGCGAAGCGGCGGCGGCGGCGCCGCCGCCGCAGCGGCCACTGCCGCCACGGCCCTGGCGGAACGGCCTCGTGACTTGGTGTTTGTGACGGCGGAAGCGGCACCGTGGTCCAAGACGGGGGGGCTGGGGGATGTGATGGGCTCACTGCCCCGCGCCCTGGCGGCCCGGGGCCACCGGGTTATGGTGGTCAGCCCCCGCTACTTGTCCCCCGCGACGGAGGAGCGCTATGCGGGCCTTACGAATACGGGCGTGAGGGCCACCCTGGACCTCGGACCCCCCCAGTCGGGGGGTGGGGGAAGCCACGAAGTGGGTTTTTTCCACACGCACAAAGACGGCGTGGACTGGGTATTCGTGGACCATATGTCGTACCACCGAGATGGCACGCCGTACGGCAACGCGTACGGGACGTATGGGGATAACCTGTTCAGGTACGGCGGGTTGGGCGGGAATACCGGGCGGGTAAGGCGTGGAGTGTGTAGTGTAGCAGGGTTAGGTGTGCGCGGAGGCGCTTGTACGGCAGTACAACAGGTGGGGGTCTCCAGAGGGGAAGGAAGGGGTGGAGTGAAGGAGGCAAGAATCTCCGGTGGCTCTGTGTTTTGTGGGTATCAGGCAAACCCATTTGTCAAAATTTATACGGTTTTGGAGAACCGAAATTACCTGTGGAGCTCTACCACTACTGTGGCTCCCAAGGTCACACGCTGCAGAGCTATCTGTCAGTGCCGCGACTGTCGTTCTCCAACCCGCCCCGCCCCGCCACCGACCCAAACACCAAACACCAAGCACGCGACAGCACCCGGTGGCGACTCTGCGCCCCCCCACCCGCCGAGGCACGGGTGGACCCCCCCACCCCCCCCTCATCAGGAGCCTCCCTCCCGCCTGACGCGCCCGCGCCTCTCTGCCTCTCATTTGCGCCGCCTGTGAACGCGTGTTTTTCGGTGGTCAACCGCTCTAACGGCCTTAGAGCGGTACCAGGGTGTTTTTATCCCCCGCCGGAACCCCCCGCCTTCCCCCCCGCCTCCCCCCGAGATTTTTTGACACGACTTGGAGTTTGTCAGCTGCACAAATACACATGTGCAGCTCCCACGTCCTCTCCCCCCCTTCTTTTGCCAGCCCTCGGGACCCCCCCCAACGCGCGCACACGCACACACACACACTCCCACACACACACTCCCACACACTCCCACACACTCTCACACGCACTCTCACACACTCTCACACACTCTCACACACTCTCACACACTCTCACACACACTCTCACACTCTCCCTCACGCCCACTTCGTGTCAGGTTCGCGCTGCTGTGTTTGGCGGCGTGCGAGGCCCCCTTGCTGCTGCACATTGGGGGCCACCGTAGAGGTACGCCCCCTGGACTGCCGTACGGCCAGGACGTGACGTTCATCGCCAACGACTGGCACGCGGGTTTGGTCCCCGTGTATTTGGCGGCCAAGTACCGACGACACGGGGTCTTTAAGAATGCTCGGTGTGTGCTCGCGTTGCACAACCTGGCTCACCAGGTGGGCTGTGCGCGTGTATGTATGCGCGTATGTATGGATTTATATGCATGTGCATATACGGAAGCTTCGGGATTGAGACCTGTCAGGGTCGAAAATCCTTCCAACGGTGGAAGGTAAAGTGCCCCTAGTCGATGGACAGTGGTGACCTGGGATAAAGTTAACTTGCGAGCCGACCAGGGATGGAGTTGAGCCGCCGTCCATCCGGCAGATTCCGTTGGATGCTGGTGGTGGGTGCGGAACCTGAGCGATCTACTGAGAAGTTGACTAGGGTGACTGGATGAGGGTGCCCCGAAATACCGGGGAAGGCAGGGTTTCGCAGGGTAGCGGCCACAGAGTGAAGATATGCCCCCCCTCTTGTCCCCACATCACACATCATACACATGCGTGCTTTAACGAACTGTGTCACGAATAGGTTCACGTGTAGCGTAAAAGTGTGCATATGTCGCGTATATGTGCGTGTGTACATGTGTGTATGTACGGCAGGGGGGTAGGACCCCGGGCAAATACCCGGAACTGATGGACGGGGTGGTGGGCGGGGGGTTGGCCGAATGAGTGCGGGTTGGATGTGTGCGCCACCAAGCCCCCCCCCCTCGGTGCCCCCCTTGACCCCCGTCTGCGCCGTACCCCTCACCCCCATTCCCCCCGTCTCCAGGGAGCCCACCCGCCCAACTGCTTTAGTTCGTTGGGCCTCCCACCGGACTGGTACGGCGCCTTGGAGTGGGTCCTAACCCCGGGTGCCGGGGGCAGCGGAGGGGGAGGACACGAGCGCAAACCCACCATCAACATTCTTAAGGTACGGCAGTAAGGGGGGGGGGGGTAGCGGGGAGGTCGCGGGGGGACGGGGGTCTCAGGACAAAGACATCCAGACGGGAGCTGGGGGAGGGTTTGACGGAGGTGATGTCGTACGGCTTTCAATTCCCTTAACGTGGTGATTCTCCACTTATCGGGATTGCTCCCCCCCCCTCTCCCC